ACCTGTCATCTCACCTGGCACTTCCCCACTCCTGTCCCCCATCTCCTGAGGCTGCAGGCTCCTGTCCACCACCCTCTTAGCCCCCACAGGTCCGTGTCTTTGCTTTGCTATACCTTCGGCCTAGGATCTCATTCTCTGACTGGTGAATTTCTTCCCACCCATCAAGACTCAGACAAGGGCCATCTCCACCGTCTACACCTCTCTCTCCATCTTGAGGTCTCGCCTATGAGTACTCACCACACTCTGGACACTTTTCCCTAAAGCATGGACCATGCTGCTGTGCGGTTTCTCATTGATCTTGACTGAATTGTGTCCCCCCCAAATTCACATCTTGAAGTCCTAACCCCAGTACCCCAGAATGTGACTGCATTTGGAGATAGGAATCTTAAAGAGGCAGTTAAGTTAAAATGAGACCATTAGCGTGGGTCCTAATCCTACATGACTTGTGTCCTTGTAAAAGAGGAGACTAGGATGTAAGAGATACCAGGAGGACACACAAAGGCAAGGCCATGTGAGGACATGGAGAGAAGACAGCACATGCAAATCAAAGAGAGGCCTCAGAAGAAACCAACCTGCAGACTTCTACCCTCCAGAACTGTCAGGAATAAATTTCTGTTATTTAAGCCACCCCATCCATGGTATTTTGTCATGAAAGCCCAGTAGACTAGCATAGCATACCCATGAGCAGTCCTCTCCCTGAGAGATGTCCTGGGTGGGGCTCCCAGGCCAGGCCAACCAAAGTACTGTTGCCCTTGGCCACTGCAATGAGTTCAGGATAAACATACCATCAAAAGTCAAGCCCTATTAGCTGGTCCAGTCACAGTGAACCTTAGGACTTTTGCAGGTGCTCCTGGGGAAAGGCCAAGGCTCTTCCTGGGGGACATGAACCTGGACCAGCAACAGCCGTCCTGCTTCTCCTAAGAGGTGGCTCTGGGGTTGCTGGAAGGCAGCACTACCTTGGGTCCAGACCATCCCAAAAGCCTGACCCAGCCCTGGCTTCCCAGTTCCCTGGGCATCTACAACTTCCCCTTTCACCTGAAGTGCCTGGAATGGGCTTCCGTTTCTAGCATCAAAGGGGGTCCTGCCTGCTGCATGTCTATGGCCTTCTCTCAGATCTATGCTGAAAAACTAGAACATTCAGAGGGGAGACAGAACTGCTGAGCACAGGCAGAGCTGGGGACCTGACTGGAGAGGAGGGAGGAGGGGTGGAAGGCAAGCTCTCAGCACAGGATGGAGAGCCCTTCCTCCTCAGCCCCATGCGTCAGCAGCTCTTGTGGCCACTCTGACTAAAAGGCTACATTTTCCAGCTTCCCTTGCAGCTAGGTGTAGCTGTGTGACCAGGTCCTGGCCCATGAGTTGGCAGCAAAAGTATGGGGTGGAGCTTCTGGGAAGTCTCTTCAAAGGCAGGAGCTTGGTCCAGTTCGAATTCTGAACCTGTTGGCCAGAGTTCCAAAAGCCAAAGGTCATATATCCCCCTGATCCCCACGCCTACAAGGCAGTGCTTGTTAGCTGGAGTGAGAGCACTGATGAGGAGCCCGATAACCCTAAATGTGAGGCTCACTCCTTGCAAAGGTATCCGGGGGCAGGGCACCTGCTTCCACCGAGGAAACCAAGGCTCAGAGGGGAAGCAACATCTTAGACTGACGGGGTCTCACGTTGACTTATCTCCCTCTGCCTCTTACCACTGGTCCTGGCGACAACTCTGAAAGCCCAGGCAGGATAGCCCTTTCCTAGCTGGCCCATGGGCTGTCGGCTCCCCTTTATACAGGCAGCTCACTTCTGAAATAGCTTTCCATGGCCATCAGTGAGGCCCAAGCCACAGTCACCTCTTTCCTGGAAGGCCCACCAGACACCTCTCTGCAGCTCATTCTCTTCCCAGCTGCCACAGCGATATTGGGAAATCCCAAAGGCTACATTTCCCAGCTTCCCTTGCAGTTTGGAAACTGTTAGCCCCTCTCCCTCCAGGGGCTCTTTACTCATGTTTCCTGACCTGGCCCAACAGAGGCTGGACTGAACAGCTCCTGCTTCCTGGCCTGCCTCTGCACCCCTCTCCACTGTACTCCAATCACACTGGCCCCCAACCCTGCTGTTCCCCAGGCTCCCATCAAGCCCATTCCCGTCTCAGGAACTATGCACTTACTGCTCCCTTTGCCTGGCCTGCTCTTCCACTGGGCATTCCCAGAGCTCATCTCCCTCACAGATCCAGAAGCCTTTTCTGGCCACAAGTGTTGGAATAGTAGCCTCCAGCCGCAGTAGTCGCCATTAGTGTGGACCAGTATTGGGTGGATGTGTGAATGAATCAAAGCATGACATGAATATGAATGAATTGAATTTGTATGCAACCCTTAATGAACCTTCCAGAATTCCTATTAGGTTGAATCATATGATACTTCCTTTTTTGTTGCTAAAAAATCATTGCACAGCATTAATTTCATACGTTCCATCTATCCTCTGGTAGTCATGGCCACACTCAAGACCTTCCAAAAGCTTCCACCAACTAGAAAGTCAACCCCCTGAGATTGACCCCACACATTTCCTGGCTCCAGCTCCCACTCCCTTCTGGGCCTGCAGACTAGTTGCCCTAGCATTGCTATCTCACAGGTTTGCTAGGGCGCATCTCCTTTCTGGAATTCCCCATGGCTATGTCTGTATGCCCAAGCCCAAGAGAATGCCTCTGGCCACTGGCCTCTGTTCCTCCCTGGTTTAAACTGACAGTGCTCCTTCTCTCCAGCCTCCACTCTACAAGGATGGCCAGTGGGGAGCTACTTGACAGCATGGGCTCTCTGTCCAGATCCTGCCTCAGCCCTATACTGCACCTCTGTGAGCACTATTCCCACACCAGCCCATGAACTGGCTTCTCCAAGAGTACAGGTTGTGCTGGCATAAACTCAGGCCTGGGAGACCATCCCATTAAACTGTGCTGACTCTGGACAAGTCCCCTCTGAGCCTCAGTTTCCTCATTTGTAAGATCTTCTATATCAGCCAAGCTATAAGTTTAAAATAATTCCTGGGCCTGGGCCCCAGGACTGGGCTGTATGTGTGTATGTGTATGGATTGTGAGGGTGGGGGAGAAAGAGAGAGTGACAGATATTTGAGTAGGAGAGAGCAGAAAAACTACAGGTGACAAGCTGGGAGAGGCTCACCAGACAGGGTTTAGCACCCTAAATCAGAGTGCAGTGGTGCCATCTCACTGCAGGAACTGGGCAGTCCCGTCCGCTATCTGGGTCTCAGTTTTCCATCTGACAAGTAAGCCCTCGGGTAGACAAGGGGAGAAGATGGGCAGGTGGTGCAAGGCAAAATTCTGCACAGCCAAGACCCCCTGAACAGGTAGGCCTGTGGAAAGGGGCTCTGAAGAGCGAAACACCAGTCTCTCTGCCAACTTCACCCTGAGCCTAGGATCCTGTTCCATGGTTGCTCAGGTGAGAGCAAGCAGGTGCCTACAGAATACAGTGATGGACCAGGCCTGCTGCAGAGCTGGGATGAGGCTGTCCTTCCCTCCCAGAGGAAGGGGGAAAAAAGCACCCCGTAATGACCTCGGGACTGAAGCCTCTGCCTGAGTGAAGCTGACGCTCCAACAAGTCAGGGACAGATTTAGACAGACCTCAGAGCCTGGCTGATGAGCTGCAGCTCAGAGGTGAGAGGACTTTCCCTGGGATGATCCAGGAGGCTCCGGAAGACCTGTGCAGGGCCAGGCGGCGGGCCGTGGAAAGGAGCTAAGGCAGAAGGAATGTGTGGTGCTCAGGCCCCAAAGCAGGAACTAGGGTGGTGTGTTTGGGGAAAGGACTAGGTTGAGCGGTCAAGGTGAACAGGGCAGATGGGCATAGAAGTCAGCGTCAGCCAGAGAGCACTGCAGTGGGGATATCTTTCTGAGGGGGAGGACACCTCCAGAGGGTTTTAATTAGGGTAATGACATGATCTGATTTCTATTGTAAAAGGATCATCCTGTCTGCTGGGTGCAGAAGGGTCTGCAGGATGGCTGGGGTCTAGGGTGGACAGCTAGAAGAAGGAGAAGAGGGGGGAAGGCGAAATAGGCTGCAGACCCAGATATGACCTGAGGGGGAGGCAGTGAGCACAGGGAGAAGTGGCTGCATTGGGGGTTCTTTTCAATTCCGCTGAAAGTGCTGATGTTGGGGCTGAGGGACAGAACACAGGTGCTCTCTGAGCAGCTGTGCGGGATGAGGAACCTCCAGCCCACAGAGACCTGAGGCTGACCTGACTTTCAGGGAAGCCCACGGTGCAGAAACAAGCCTGTGGCCCTTTAGCCCGATGCACACAGTAACACAGCATGGCCTTCTCCTCACTGACTGGGGCATCTTGGCGACCAATATCACTCTCCCCACCCCTTACACCAGGTTTTTGTCAGAATTGCCTCAGAAATCAAAGGGTGGCTCCACAGTCTGTGTGCATGTGTGTGTCTGTGTGTTCATGCCCACAGACACCACTCTCATAAAACAGAGGTTGCAGTGTCAACATCCACAGGGGTCAGGAGGATCAACAACAGGTCTTCGCAGGCTGGGAAACAGTAGGACGCAGTGGGACTGTGGCAGTGAATGGGCTACCCAGGCTCCACCTAAAAGAAGCTGTGCTCTCAGCTCCAGCCCTTCTAAACATGTGGGCCCATGTGTAAACTATCACTACATCTGCCAACTTTTCCAAAGAAGCCAGAAATTCATATTTTTAGGTGAAACAACTAACTTTTAAATTAGGGCTTCAATTTACAATTGAAGGCTTACAATTACAATTAGGGCTTACAATTTACAATTATCAGAACTGTGTCAGCAGGTTAGCAATGGGGCCCTTGGGGGCTGGTTTGCAACTCACCATTGGGGTGCTGTGAGCTCAAACCAGAGACCTGAATTCAAGTCATGGCACCTGCAGGATCCCATATGGAGAGACACTCTTATGGGTGGGCAGATGAAGGGGTCCCAGAGACTTGTTAAGGGTATTCTAGTTTCCCATAGCCTATAAGCCCTGCTCGGGGTGTTGGGGTGAGCACATACCCACTTTGAGCTCCTTCCCAAAGACGGTGCGCTCCCCCAGTGCAGAGCAGTTCCAGCGGCCATTGCGGAACTGAAACTGACACTCGTCCAGGCCCATTTGTGAGCCTTCTCCTATGACGATGATGGCGTCGGGCCGGCTCTGGCAGATTGCCCGCTGTCGGGGAGCCAGACCTGGGATCTTGTTACAGATGATGCTTGCTCCCAGAGCTACCACTGAAGAGAAGCCACTGGAGGGGGAGACACAGAGAGAGGGAGTGTTAGGCCAGCAAGGTGGGGGGCACAACCTAGAGACCCTACCTAGGTGTCCGTCCACAGAGACCCCACTTCCCCCGGCAAGAGTCTCCCAACTCTTTTGATCCTGCGCTCCCAACCCGTGTATATTCATTTACAGATTTATAAATCCCACACAGGCAGCTATATCAATGTACATGTTCAATATCAGTGAAACTTGGTTTCTTCTTCAGGAACAAAATAGATATTTTTCTTTGAGTTTATGGTAGATTCCATAGAGAAAGAGGCAAGAGAAACCCAATAGTGCTTATGCGTCACCTCTGTGGTGAGATTCTAAAAGCAAGCAAGAGAATGATGACTGCAAAGTTTCATGTGGCATTGCCCACGGAGGGTGCACCGATGTTCATTTAAAAAAATTGGTTCGTGCATGTTATATATACTCTCTTGTAAGCATGTGTTTTAGTATAAAATGGTTTAGAAAGTAATTGTAAGTAGAAGTCTTGGTATTTTCTTCCTGCCTGGCAATGGAGCACACGTGCCCCTCTCTGGAAGTGACGGGCCTGGAGCTTGTGTGTGACTTTTACGATGGGAGCTCCTGCCTTCCTCAACTCATCCACTGAACAGATAAATATGGGACACTTGTTGTGTGCCAGGCACCATGCTGCGAGACAGGTGTGCCTGAGTGGCTGGGATGCAGACACCGCCCCTCAAGGTGCTGTAGAGGGGGAGAGACAACATAGGTGTCACAAATGAAAAAAACAGGCCATTTCAGACAATGACACACACTATGTTGAAAGCAAATATGCTGCGCTGGTGGCTAAGGGTGGGAGGGGCCGCTTTAGCTGGGATGTTCAGGGAGGACTCCCTGAGGCAGTGACACTGGAGCTGGGACCTGAATGGCCTGGAGGCAGCAGGAGAAGATCTGGGGAAAGATACTCAGGGCAGAGGGAACAGAACCTGCAAAGTTGTAGGAAGGAGATAAGCCTGAAGTCTCCAAGGAACAGAAACCCCCAAGGTGATATGAATCCTGGGCTTGAGGAGGGGGAAAGCCCAGAAGAAGTGATGGCCTGGAGCTGAAGTTTCCCCAGGTGCATCAGGCAGCATCACTGAAGGGCTGTCGGCAGGACACTGCCACGATCTGGTGGCCCCTGCTCCACGTAGGAAAGGACTGGGGGGTGCCAGAGAAGGAGCAGGCAGACTAGAGGTGGTGGTGGCTTGGCCTGGTGGCAGTGGTGGGGATGGCCACAGGCAGAGCTGATGGCCTGATGCAAGGGAAAGAGGCATTGATGTGATTCCTGGGCACCTGGCCAGCTGGTGGTGCCATTTCTAATCTCAAGATGACCCCAAAAGTTCATGAAAAGAACTTTTAAAAGAGAAGACCTCTCCTCTGATGCCTCCTTTTGGATATAATAATGCAAGCTTCCATTTACTGGGGGCTGCTGCATGGGGCAAGTCCATCATCCTGGGGGTCCCCTGTGGAACATTGCAGGAACTAGAATTCATCAGGGTGAGGCTTCCCTATGCCAAGGACACCTGGAGATGATGTGGACCCACTCCCTTCCAAGGGCATACCTGGCCGCTTCTGGGGTTCCCTGGGGTTCCCCATATATTGGCCTTCTTCCTGCCATGGGCCCTTTGTCCTGGCTCGGTCCTTTCCCTGGAAGCTCTCTCAACCCTCTATTCACAAGCTGGCTTCTTGCTATCAATCACACCTCCTCAAGGGTCATCTCCCGACCATCCCAGCTAAGGGAACCTCTCTGCCTTCCCTACTCCTAATAACTTTCCCTCACAATCTCTGTTCTGTTTATTTGATACTCTTGGTTATTCATGGTCTTGTGAAATGTTTTAACGTATATATTTGTTTATCCCGTCTTCCTCATGAGACTGTGAGCGCTTTGAGGGCATGGCTACTGAATGAATGAATTGTTGCACTTCGAAGGTGTCATGCTGGGTGAGTTCTGTTACATAGCAGGTGCCCCCAAATATGCATAAAATGCACCAGTGAACTTTTGGGGCATCCCTATTATGTGCCAAGGCAGCATGGTGGCTGCCGCCACACACACCAGCTCATGGGAACGTTCTAAGCAGCCCTGTGGGGCAGGAATCGTGATGTCCTTTTCATGTGTTCAGAAACGGAGACTCATAAAGGTTGAGACTCGGAGGCAGGAGCAGGTCTTAAGAGTGGGAGAGCCTGGCTCTGCCTCATGTTCCTCAGCCACTAAGATAGAGCCTACCCCATGGCCAGAATGCCTGAAATGTATAAGGAAGGGGCACTGTGGGAAGATTTAGTGGAGATGATTTGACCACAAGTCAGGAGGAACCCCTGAACACCTGGCTGACTAGTAGGGAAGTTTTACATCAGAAGACAGTGTAGTTGTATATTGGTGCAAAAAAATGCCTTGGAACAATAGTGTAGCACCTTAAAGGTCTGGCCTCATTGCCCTCTAAGCTGCCTTCACTAACAAGCCGCGGGACCTTAGGCAAGTTGCATTCCCTCTCCGCACTTCAGTTTTCCCATTGCTAAAAGGGAGGTATTAATAACTAGTCCCCACCTCAAAGAGATGCTGTGAAACTAAATGTGTTAAAACAAAGAAAGTGCTTAAAAGTGCCAGCAACATGGTGAATACTCAACAGATGTTGCGTTATCATAAGGGTCATTATGGGATCAGATTGTTACAAGGGGCTAGTGCTGGAGTCACCTGAACTATCCCAATAAAAGAAGAATAGAGTAGATGACCCTCCATCAGTTGGAAGCTGGTGGGAGCCTGTCACATCTGGGAAACTGGGAAACCTCTTAGGGAATTCTAGATTTCATCCCATTTTACAGATAAGTAACTAGAGGCTCAGGGAATAGCAGAACCTGGCCCTAAGTCACCACGCAAATCCCACCGCCCCATTCGGACCTCTTCCGCACCTCAGAGCGCAGCCTGGGGCTGAAGGCCAGCGCCCTGCGGCTCCCCTCCTTCCTCCCCCCGCCCCAGGCAGCTGGGTCCCCCCAGGCTCAATCCAGTGAAGCCTTGTAGCCTGGGAGGTCAGCCCATGCGCGGGCGGGGCGGCCAGGGGAGGTTATTTTCTGCAGTTCTCCCTTTCTCTCTCCCCTCCCGGGTCCCTCCGCGCCGTTTCTAATTAAAAAGGAGATAAAGCCGCACGTGGCCAGAGCCAATCGGCCAGGCCGGCTTCCTGGATGCTGGATGTACGCGGGCCTCGGGGCGCGGGCCAAGATGAAGATTAAAGCAAGGGAAAAAAGAAAAGCACCCAGACGCGGGCGAATCAATAACACTTAAACACACCGGCAGGCAGCTCGCGAGCCCCGCAGCCGCCTCTGCCTGCGTCGCCTCTCCGACCGCGGTCGGGCTGGCGGCCCCTAGTCAGCGCTTTGCGCACCTGCCGGTCGCCAGGCTCCTCTGCCTAAGCAGCCCCCGCTGCAGAGAAGCGGGATGGGGAAGCCGGCCCCGCTGGGGGTAGCAGTGGCAAAACACAAAGGATCTGCCAGATACGCCCCCTTGCTGCAGCCCCTAAGCTCCGGCCCTCCCCAAGAAGGGTAGTAGGGGGTCACTGCTGGAGAGTGGAGCGGCAGGTTGTGTGAAACCTGCGAAGGAGGTCCTTCAGCGCCAGAACCTCTGTCAATCCCTGGAGCCCCCTACTCCTGTCCCTCCGTGCCTCTCACGCATTATCTCCTAAGTACAAAGGGTGGCCATGCAAATGCAGCTCCGAGACGCGTCCCGAGCCACCCCCGCCCACCTCCTCGCCACAGCGCCGCCCCAGACCCCACCTCCTCAGAAATGCTGGGATGCCTCCCGAGGGCTGCTCCGCGGGCGCCCGGTCGCCTCGGGTGACCAGAGTGCCAGGGGGCGGGGTGTCCTGCCTCTCTCTGGCGCTCGCTTTGAGACCTAGTCTCCCTGGTGTCTTGGGGCATCTCTCCTACCTTTGTGGGTTTTTGTTAGGGGTTAGAGCCGCTGTCCCTTTGGCCTGAGAAGGAGCCCTGGGAGTGTGAGTGTCCCTGGAAATTGAGTGGCGCTAGGGCTCTAAGTGGCGGTTTATGCTTTTTGCCAGCGAAGTCCTTCCCTCCGGGTACCTGTTCCCTATTTGCACCGACAGGCCTGCCTGCCACCTGGGGACTGCCCAGTCTCTAGGAGGGGCCGTGTCCGGGCCTCGGTGGGCAGAGTTCCTCTCGGATCTAGGAACTGAGCGCCCTGGGAGCGGCTGTGGTCCTGGCTTGGTGTCCTCTCTGGACCTGCTGCCCCTATATCTGGTCTGGAGGGTCCTCGAGATAGGCCGACCCTTTCCAACACCTGGTCCCCTCTAGACTCCCTCAGGCTGGAGTGTCCTTACTGGCTGTCCCTGGTTCTTGGGGTTTCCACTCTGAGATGTCCTCCGGACGGCCGGTCCCCCTGCCTGAGTCTCCTGGGGCATCTGCCTGCGGGACCCCTTTGTGCACCCACATCGCGCCCATCTGGCCTCTCAGAGAGGCTGATCAAGTTAGTGGCCCGCAGAGGCTCCCAGACGGCTCACCACCCTCCCCCTGCCGCGCCAACTTTGCCGAGACACACGCGGAGGGGGCACAGGCAGCCCTTACCCGATCCGGAGATAGACCAAGCCCAGGCTGAGAAAGAGGTGGCCCAGGCAGCGTTGCGCTTTCCGGTTCATAGTCCCCGCAGGCCGCCGGGGCCGCGGGCCGAACTGTGCTGATCCCGCGGGCCGGCCCCGGCGGGGCAATCAACATAGCCCGCCCGGGAGGCGCGGGCCGAGGCGTCCCCGGGACGGTCTGTCGGTGCGCGCGTCCAAGCGCTCAGCGCCTGAGCCTCGCCTGGAGCGCGGGAGCCACGGAGCGGGAGGAGGGAGGGAGGAGCGAGCGCGGCGCGAGGAGACGCCAGGCTGCGCGCTAGCTACGGGTGCAAGTGTGAGAGTCGCGGGGAGTGCGGGGGAGCTGCTGCCTCCCGCCCCCGTCCCTCCCTCCTCTCCCCCGCCCCTCCCCTCCCCCCTTCGCCTCCCTGGAGAGCCCGCCCCAAGTCCCCGCGCCCGCGGGACAGGGCCTCTCCCCGCGCCTCTCCCCGCGCACTCTCCCTGCGGGCCTGCTCCCTACTCCTGGACGAGGGTGAGAGGCGGGGGCGCAGATCCAGGTTGGGGGTAGATGGGAACCCGCTGGTCCCCCATGGGTCACTAACTCGCAGGTTGCGGAGTGAGCTGGTGTTCAGAGGCTGCCCTTGGGTGAAGGGGATCAGACTCCGCAGAGAGCCCTCGTGCCTTGGCTTGCCGTCCTGATTCCCAGTCCCGATAGGAGAGCTGCGGGTGGTAGGGCGCACCCGGGTTTCCCCTCTCCCCAGCTTCCAAGTCCAGCTTCAGGGGAGGGCGCCCCCTTCCGCGGAGATACTCTCGGAGCAGGTGTAACTGGCTTAGCATATCTCTTCCCTACCCTATCTATTCCAGGGGTCGGGCAGGTGGGTGCCTAGGTAGGGCAGGCTCCTCTGGGGTTCCGCTGTGAGCGGACAGACAGAGTCGGGCTGAGGCCGGGTTGCTATGCACTACGCAGTCCTGGCCCTCTGCGGGCCTCTCAGAGCGCTCTCGCGGCGACACCAGCTGGGCGCGGCGGGTGGTGCAACTCGGCTTCTCTCCCAGGACCGAGAGCCCTGAGCATCCTGGCTGAGCAGACGTGCTGACCTCTGTCTATGATATACACCCTCAGAGATATTGGACTCAAGTTTGAGCTGAAGAAATTGAGGCCCAAGAAGATGAAGGTGTTTCCCTAAAGTCACCAGTTAGCGAGTGGGTGGTAGAGCCAGATTGGAAACAAGATGTACCCAACTCTAGTAAACGTTAGCCTACGCCTCCTGTCTGTCCTTCAAGGCCGCCTTTCTAAAACATACGCGCACACACACACTTTGTCTCTCTCTCTCTCTCTCTCTTCCCTGAAAATCCCAGTCCATGCGTTTCATTCACATTGTATCAATGTCTGTGCCAGGCACCATGGTGAGAACTGTGGATACCAGCAACAAGAAAGGCAAATCTTCCCTCCTAGAGCGGAGGGAGGAGGCAGCCCCTCAGTAAGCAAGTACACAATTTCACATAGCACAGGCTCAAGTGAAGATAATTAAGCATGGGAATACTGGATGTTGGAGTTTATTTAGGTCTGAGGAGGCAGCATTTGAGCTGAGAAAGTGGAGGGGCAGGTTGGGGACCCAACACTCAAGAACCAGCAAGTGCAACCTTAAGGATGGTGTGAGCTCAATTATAGAGCGTGAGGTGTCAGAGGGAATGGGGATACAGGGAGAATTGCAGGGCATAGGCCCAACATGGAATCTGGAGACACAGGACATATTAACAAATGTGGGCCTTATAATAAAGGGAAGCGAGGTGTCATATTATCAGATTTACATTTCAGAAGGCTTATGATGGTTGTCATAAGAGCAAACAGAAGGAGATTGGAAGTGAGGGTAAGTCAGGAGGTCTCAACAGTTATGTGGAGGAGAAAGGCCCAGCCTGGACAAGGGTGGGAGAGAAGGCAAGGAGAGGAGGGATGGATCTGAGAACTAGTCAGGAGGCAGAATAGGCGGGATGGGGAAGCTTTGGGGACAGCAGCCTGTCCTATGAGAGAATATGGCTTGTGTTGACAACACAGAGAAAGGACCCAGAGAGGAGGAGGTCTTGGAGATGAACTTGGTTTAGGACATGCCAAATTTGAGGTATCTGTAGATTACTGAAGGGGCCGCTGAATACCTATAGCTGGTGCTCGGGAGGGAGGGTCAAGGCTTTGGAGGGCGACTGGGGTCTCCACTGCCAGGGCCAGGCAGTCACTCAAACCAAGGTGTGGATGGGACGCCCCAGGAAGCTGAGGAGGATGAATGGGGAAAGCCCCATGCAAGGCCCCAGCCTAATTTAAATAACCAGCTAGGGAAATGGAGCCACTAAAGGTGACTGATGAAGACAAGCCTGAGAGGCAGAACGTTAATCAGAGAGCAAGAAGAGAAAGGAGTTCGCAGTGTCAGACTTCACAGAGAAGGCAGGGGAGGCGAGGGCTGGAAAGGGTCCAGTCTTGTCACCCAAAGATCTTTACAGTCTGGCTCCAAATTACACTGACAGCCTCGACATTTCCCAAACTCCTCCTCCCAAATGGGTGGGTTTCCAGCAGCGTTTACAGAAAGGCAATAGACTAGAGAATAACAGGAGGCCTTATACATCATAAGGTTCCAACTCTGTGTGTGTGCGTGGACATTTGGTATGCATGTGTGTACATTGTGGGTTGTGGTTTTACAAAAAATTGAGAGACTGCTACTGCAACCGGCCATACCTTTGTGTATGCCTTTAGCCCTCTTTTCCAATTGGTAAACTCCTACTTCATCCTCTAAGCCCTACCCAAGTATGATATGAAAGGCTTATATGAAGAGCCTTTCCTTGATCAATGTTGCTTCTGTCCTAAGCACTTGGTCTCTTCCTCACTCATTCACCCTTCCAGCAACTGTTAGGTACTAAAGTGTGCCAGGCACGGGCATGCCGTGGTGAACGTGGGCATGTGATCTTTGAGGAGAGCACATTTCAATGCATTTCTTCCTTTGTGCTCCCACTGCCCCTGAGCTGATCTTGGCAGACCCCTTCCCACCTAGAATAATGTCTGTGCTCAGCCCCCTCACTCGTCCATCAGAACATAACCTCCCTGTGGGAAATGTGCTGCCCTCTTCATCTCTGGCTCCAGCACCCAGCACAGGGCTTGCATCAACTGAGCACCATGGCTTGGTAATAAGAACATAGACTTTGGAGTCAGTTTGAATCCCGGCTCTGCCAATTAATAAATAGCTTTATTAATACTGAAGGCACGCTAGAAGGATTATACAAGACAGTTTTTTAACTTGTTGAGATTTCTCTGTGGCTAATGATTCTCAGGTCATTCAATCTTACCCTTGATTGGGAGCTCCCCAGAACTATGATTCATTCCAAGACCTGGCTGGAACCAAGTGTGAATAAGTGTTTTATGAATTAATGGGACCCACTGCAGAAAGTTATTCTTTGGCAGAGTCATTCTAACCCAGAATCTTTCTCCATGTTTGGCTTCCTGTGTCTGGATCAAGAGAAGGGCATATTATTTCTCTTTAGCAGGTGCTCTCAGCCAAACCAAGCCTACCTCAGCAGGTGCACAGTCAGCCAGGGCCTTTGGCGCCCTCTGCTGGAAACGTTAGGAGAGGCTGCCTAGATCTCAGGGGCTGTACTAATAACTAACATGCGACCAGCCCTGCCGTCTACCAGACGCTGCTATCAGTGAGAGCTCTAGAAGGGTTCAGTTTCTGGTTTGACTATGTATTATGTCTGTGGCCTTGGGAAAATTGCTTAAATCACACCTTGTCTCCTGGGGTCGGTATGAGGTTTCAGATGCTATGCGTAAAGTGCTTAGCACACTGCTGGGAACACAGCAAATGCTGTTTACACATTTGTGAGATTAAATTAACATAGATGCTGTGGGCACCACTTAATGAGGCCACCAGTCAAGAAGTGACCTGGTGTTCCAGGTAGTGCCCACCGACGGGCCCCTGAGGATGGGGTTGTGTAGTCTTCTCATTTGTTTTTGTTCCTTTGTTTTCTATATTTGTGTTTATAAGAAAATCTTAACAACACACCATAGGGAAAGATGCTGGTACTAAAGTGTTTGATGCTGTTAGAGCCCTGTACTGAGCACATCATTTTTGTTGAGTGGATAGATGAAAGAAAGAAATACTTTCATATGGGGACAGTGTTCAAAAGGAAATTAAGTTAGGAGTGGTGACAGAGAGCAGCGTGGTGGGGACCCCCGGTACCTGGGCCAGAACAGGATTCCCTGGAGCACTCATGTGTACTGAGACCTGAGCGATGTGGAACCCTCAGAGCTTCATTTCGCCTCCTCCAGAAGCCGTCCCTGGCCACCCCCTTCCCTGATATTGAGCTCCTCAGCCCCTGCATGGCCCTGTCACAGTGCCTGCCACACTGCCTAGCCTGTACATGTGTGTTGATCTGCCCTCTCCCCTGACGTGAGGACCTCTAGAGGCTGCCACACTCCGTGATGCCCAAAAGATCCTTGGTAACACACCTGGTGGAAGAGAAGAGTCGGAAAGAGAAGTTGGAAAGAAGGTCGCCGAAGCGATCCGTATGTCTGATGTAAAGACCTACAGACTCTGTCCTGCAGATGGGGAAGGCACCCAAGGCATCTGAGCAGGGCTGTGACCCAGTCCCATGTGGGTCCTCTCAAGTGACGTGAGCCCCTGCTATTCTGTGGCTATCCAGGCTTCCGCCCTTCATGACTGGCACTGCAGTGTCTACTTGGGGAGCCTCCCACTGTGTGCCGTCTGGGGGAGGTTGTGCAGCCTCTAGTGCCAGCTCCTCTTCCTCCTGCTGTCTTGGAGCTGTTGGTGTCTGAGTCCTCTATCCTGGGATGGGAGTAGGATAGAAGCTGGGACCTGCGGACCCCATTCCCACAGTTGGGTAGCAGTAACTACACAGAACACAGAGGTATCCACCTTGTAAAATAAGGAAATGGCCCTTCCTTCTGAACTGTGAGACCATGCACAATTTATTGAGTACCTACTATGTGCCAGGCCCCCAGGTGGGCCCTTATATTGGCAACACTCTTCCCCCCCGATAGCTATATGGGTCAGCCTTCAAACAGATGACCACGTCCCAGGCCCTGA